ATAGTAAAACAAGTCAAAAGATATGTCAAGACTTTGTTTTGTCTTGATATTCCTTCAGAAAATTCATTCAAAATTATCCAAATTGATACATCCGACATTGGCTATGGTGACATCCTTCTCCAAGAGTCAATACAAATTCTCCAGAACAAATTGTTCATTTCCATTCTGAAATTTGGAACAGTGCATAAAGTAGCTATAGTACTATTGAAAAAGAGATTTTGTCGATTGTCCTATGTATCTCCAAATTCTAAGATGATATATTAAATCAAAAAAATTTAGTCATAGTAGATTGTAAATCAACAAAATATGTTTTGGAAAAAGATATACAAAACATTTCTACTAAGCAATTTTTTTCCAGATGACAATCAATTTTAAGTATTTTTGATTTTGATATTGAGTATATTAAAGGTAGTAATAACTGTATTCCTGATTTCTTAACCCGTGAGTTTCTGCAGAAACCCAATGGCGGATAAGAAACATACTAAATCCAATACCTCATCTTAAAAACCCGAGAAAGACCATGGTAAACAACTAGCTTTGCCCAGTCCAAACCCAAAGCCCTATCAATTACCAATTGATCTAGTAAATCGTTATCACGTCCTTGGTAACATAGTGAGACCAACCTTTTTCATCTACCTTAGTAAACCCAAACACAATAACATGCCTTTACCAAGCCCAGCAACAAACACTTATTGGCCCATATTAAGCTCAACCTATATCCTCAGTAAGACCTAGCCAGTTAACCAATCCCTATCCTGCAATGCCAAACCAGTAAAACCAAGGCCCCAGAGCAGAGTACATACCAAAGCCAATAGCCCATAACCTGTTTGCTATTGAACTAGTAAATGCTCATTTAAGCAACCTTATTAACCTAGCCAATGTCTATCTTGAACCAGGATGGACATTTATCCCTTTGGATCCTGAAAAAACTTTTAAATTTTACCAAGGTATCCTATTTCATACCCAGTCAATATTTATCAAATCTATCCCTAATAGAGATGATCCTTGCAAAATTGAATATCATTCTTTGTATATACAAAAGTTTATTTCAGATAAAGATTTGGGGTATCAACCTTATTTGCTCAGAGATCTCCCAGGTCACAGAAAGTAGTTTAGCTACTATGACTACAAAGAGTTATAGTTTAAACTAATACTTTATCAGGATGAGTTTTACACTCATTCTTGGTTCCTCCAATTCTCTAAGGATTTCAAGAGCTAGATTCTTTCCTGGTTTTTGCAGTGATGGCATGGCCCAATGATTGAGATCCTTCCAATTGATTTTCAAGATCAAGTAACTTACTTCTCCGCATTTTTTAAAACTAGTCAACATGATTCATAGTTCCTTGTATTACTCCTCTTTATGAGTAGGTACAAGGTACCATGGATCTGCAAATGGCATTATGCCGTCACAGCAGACGTAGTCATCCAGCAATACTATGTCAAGTGGTAGAATAGATTTGACCACCAACGTATTATTGTCTAAGTTAAAATAGAATCCAGTAAAAGTTTCTACTCCAATAAAAATTACAGGATCAGTTAATAGAACACCACCACCAGTGATCAAGCCATCAATGCCAGCACTCAAAGTCTCATCTCTGGAAATTCAGACACTACCAGACAAGCAAACCAAGTGCCCACCAAAGACTTCCAGTAAATCACAGAGGAAGAAATCATCCAAGTTAATTGAACTAGCACTACAATTACTTCAGCAAGCTAGCTAGCCAAGAAGATGATGGCTTTTCTGTTACATCACAAGCTTCAGTAAGCCAGTCATTGGACCCATTCCAGTATGCTTAAGATCCGAATGATGCCTATGACTTATTCGGCCCATGATTCACCTCTCATGTGCATAAAGACTTCAATCACTACTTTCTTCATCAAAAGAAATAAAAGTTGTCTTTTAACATGCTTAAGAGAATCATTTCAGCAACAAAGCTCCTTTTCCACCAAAAGGAGATACCAGTCAGCTTTTCCACCAAAAGCAGACACTATTCAACAAAAAGGACCCAGTTGTCACATGATCTTGCACCAAAGTCAGCATTCACAAGTAAAAGCATTTTACTCTACCAAAAGGGAAAAAAGAAAGCATTTCACCAGAGTAAAAGAATGGCACTAGTCAAAAGAGAAATCATTTCATAGATTCTCTCTAGAAATTCTTACGCCTATATAAGGACTTCAGTCATTCAAGTAAAGGAGAGGCAAAATCACCAACACCTAGTTCACTCTCATATTTTCTTATTATATCTTTGTCTTCATATGATGCAAAAGAAGATCCATTCTTAGTTACCTATTTGTAAGTTAATTTACAGCTAGTTATATTTTATATTTTAATTTGAATTCAGTTTAAAATTTGAATTCATCCAGTAAAATCTTGTGCAATTATTTATGCTTCTTCTATCCGTCTTCTCATTCTTTTCTACTTCTACTTTCCCGTACCCCTAGAAGTGGTATCAGAGCATATATATATATATATATATATATATATATATATATATATATATATATATATATATAAGTAATGTTATTAAGATTTAAAAAAAATTAATCTAATTTATTGATATAATAATAAGTTAAGTAATAGCGTTCCAATAAATAAATTCAAGACTTACCGTTAAAAAATTATGAGCAGTGCTATACAGACTTAAAAAACTTGACGTAATGATATGACTATTATATTTGTTATTGATTTAATTGTGGGTCATAATATTTATTAGAATTTACTACCTATTCAATGGTTGTGATTCATCAAGTCAAGTGTTTTAAGTCTATTTAGTATTTTTGGTCCAAGTCTATACAAAAAATCATTTTGAATTGCAATGCGGGTGAACTCGAATTTGATCCAAGTCATAAATTTCTCAATCCAACTTCAACCTTACTCTTTCTATCAAAGAATTGGTTGGTTAACATTTTGAAGGCAGGTAACATAACTCAAAAAATATATTTAATTTAGGCTGAAATTCGATTTTTTATTTTTTAACATCAATTTTCAAATTGAAATTTGAGGTCAATGCAAATTGAAAACATGTTTAACTTGTGTTTAATTATCGAGTTATATAACTTGGTTCAAAATGCATTCGGATTGACAAGCTTAAATTACACCCAACTTATTTGTTTGAAGATGGACAAAATGACTGCATAGCTGACATCTCTTACTTCTCTTCTTCTATCTCTTGCAGGTCACCGACGAGCCATCTCCTACTCAAAATTTTCTGTTGACTAACTTCCAGCATCCATAGTAATGAACCATATCATCTTTGAAGTTGGCTCATGCTAAGGTGGAGGGAATCATTAATCATTCTACATGGAATTGGCCACTTAATCAGTCTACTGAGCTCTTGAAAATTCAAAATTCAATGCCTTCTTATTCACCAAACCACCTTGTTGCTGATAAGATAAAGTGGCTTCCTGCAGCAAATGTGGCATATTCTGTTTCTTCAGCTTGGAATTTCATAGTATAAACTCATTTGATATTCTCAATCCAAACCGAGAATGAGCTTTATATTAAGGTTAACTATAAGAGAAAAAGTGACATCCTGTGTCTTCTGCATTTTTGAATGTCCATTCACAAGTGATATCTATTTGAAGATTATGCAAAAGTGTGGTGAAAGTTGCCAAACTATGGCATGGCCCAGTTAATCCAAACTTCAGTAGGGCAGTGGAAGGAAAAGTCTCTTAGAACTATCAGCCTAAAGTTTATGCCATGCAGCCACAATGTATAGCTTATGGAGGGAGAGAAATGGAAAAGTGTTTAAGAATGTGTTTTAGGAAGTACTATCCATTTTCAAGGAAATCATTAATACTGTCCAAAGCAAGTGGATTACTGTCAAATACAAGGAAATCCCCTAGACTCTCCAGCTTTTTACATATGTGGCAAATTATTCCACCTGATGCTTAGCATAGTGGATAAACCTTGACATGAGTGGTCTGTTTTTTTTTTTAATTATTATTATTATTATTTTTTGTATAATGTAGAGCCTAATCTGAGAGAAGTCTTGTGCAACCAACAAAACTATTTAAATATTAAACTCTTTTTGGTCTTTTTTGGCTCCAGTAATGCTTTATGCAGAGTTGGACTGTCTATAGTTCACACATGTATATTTTGGCCACTTGGTTACTAGGATCGTATTCACAATTTATTTACATACTCAAACAAATAAAAATTTGCAGGATACAAATTCCACAATTGTGGTGTCTATAGGCTTTCTTATAATTTGGATATGCTATTTTGAGGTCAACCTATTAGGAATGTCTACATAGTTATGACTCATTTATGTTAACGTCTAATTGAATTCAAGAAAGACCCTTACCAATACAAACAGATTCCAGCATATATAAAAAACTTTGTATGAACCAGTGAGAATCATGTGAATCAAATAGTGTAGTGATTCAGATAGGTTTCACAAAGACCAAACATATTAGCGGGTTAAAATTCATTTTTTTTCTTTTACTTAAGAGAAGAAAAAAACCCACCTTTTTTTTTCCGTTGTAAAACAAACGATTTTAAACATCAAAGGATTGATTTAGAATTTTTTATTCATGAAAACTATCTATAATTTTTGGAATTGGTCATAGTCTGCCAAGAGGGCTTAAAAGGGCCTAAGGATTTTCATCTATGGTCCTTCATTAAGTTACATAGTTGCTTTAATACCAAGAGTCTCTTTAGGCAGTCCCATGAAACAAGTTCGCCCTCAAGGAGTTCTTTTCTTTCATAAGAAAAACTCATTTATTAGTAAAGCAGTCCAATAAAATGGAGTACCTTCATTGAGAAGGATAGAAGGCGGTGCCAGAGTGACCTAACCATAAGAATCCTTGAATATTAGCGTACTGCCATTACACTCAGCGAAATGCACATGACACAGGCCTTGTTTTTTTACCCATAATAGACAGCAACTGAGTAAATCATCAAGATTGGCCTTTTCTTCCCCAAAGATGAGAAACCATGGTCATATAAAAACAAAACAAGTGACTTACCTTTTTAGTAAGTTTATACACATCTCAACATGAAGTCCTTCACCTCTGAAACGACCAATGTCCCTGTAACATGTGAGGAAGAAGAAGAAGAAGAGTCTCAAAAAACCAGTATGACATACACAGATTTAATATCAACACTTCCGAAAGTACCCAGATGGATATCGAGACACTTCAAGACTCAGCCCAGAGATATTATTATATGCAGCGCTCCAAAAACTGGCACCACATGGCTCATGGCCTTAACTTTTGCCGTGATAACAACAAACAAGAAACCGTTTCAGTGAATTTTCAACCCCTTTGCTCACCAGCGTAACCCATGAATGTGTACCCTTTTTGGAGGTTGATCTTGCTGAGAAAAGTGAGTCGGGACCCCGAACTTCCACTTTTGTCCACTCACCACCCCTATATTTTCTTACGAGAATCTATACTAGCATCAGGGTGTAAAGTTATTTATATATGTAGAGAACCAAAAGATACATTTGTTTCTCTGTTGCACTTTACATGCAATGCGCTATCCCAACATGTGGAATTAGCAGAAACTGTTTCTTTGGAGAAAGAGTTTCACCTGTTTTGTGAGGGTAAATCTCCTTATGGACCTTACTGGGATCATGTGTTAGGGGTATTGGAAAGCAAGACTGGAATTGCCTGAGAGGGTATTGCTCTTGAAATACGAAGATACGCAGAGAGATCCAGAGTTCTACATGAAGAGATTGGCTGAGTTCATGGGGCAATCATTTAATATAGAAGAAGAGACCTAAGGTGTGCCTCAAAAAATTGGTCATGTGTAGTTTGAGAATTTGAGCGGTTTGGAGGTGAACAAGACGGGCAAAGATCGTTCAGATTCAGGCTTGGGAATTGGTAACAGTACATTTTTCAGAAAAGGGGTGGTGGGGAACTGGAAGAACTGTCTGACAAGAGAAATAACAGAAAGGATGGATCAGATTACGTAGCAGAAGTTAGGCGAGTCTGGCGTCACATTTGGTGTTTCATCATCGCCATAAACCAACGTATTGTGTTCCAGTTGGATTCTGATGCACCTCCACACTAAGTAAATCATTGAGGATTCATCAGAGAAATAGTAATGAAGGCAACCATATGGCATGACCTTAAATTCTTGTTCTTAATCTTTCTTCCTTTTCAGAGTCTCTTTTTCTGTGATTTGAACTTCCGATGCTGTAGTTTGTAATCTATGAGAAAAAAAAAAATTATAGAACAAATTTACTCCATTCGCCTTCCATAATCACACTCCATAAACATTTTTTCTACAATTTCTGGTTTGAATCTCTCATAAGCATTTCTTCTCTCATTCTGCCTAGTTCTGTTCCTTTCATGCAAATATAAATTGCACACTGAAAAACAATCAAGCAGATTGAGCTCCCATTAAACATAGTCACACAGATGGCCAAATGCCAATCTCAGAATACCCATCTTCAGTAGCACAAGCTCTAAACATGCCTGTCGTATTAAACGGCATGGTTACTTCTCCTGTGGCAGACACAGCAATCAAGCCAGCAGTGCCTCTTGGTGCACACTCTTCTATAACATAAGTCGCTGCATCCTTTAGAGAAAGCCCTTTGTATTCCATAAGAGAGGCCACATCCCTTGCAACAGTGGAGCGTATTATCGCTTCACCCTTGCCAGTGGCAGAGACAGCGCACAAACTGTTGGCATATGTCCCCGCACCAATGATAGGGGTATCCCCAATCCTTCCTACCATCTTGTTCACTAACCCACCAGTAGAAGTTGCTGCAGCTAAATTTCCATGACCATCTACAGCCACACATCCGACTGTCCCAATTTGGCTATCCCCACCAGGAAATGATGATTCTTTCGGAACATTATTTTGGATGGGTTGTGTATAATCTATCTACAATTTGATACAAAAGACTTGTTAGCCATTTTCATAGAAGTCAGAACACTTCTGCAGGTTATTCTATATGTAAAATCACACTGTGGAGTGCACAAACATCACGAAAGTAGAAATATTTCTTCTTTTTTCAAAAAATTGGATGCGTGGGGACGGATGAAAACCAAACGAATCAATAGATAATATGACTTATCATTCCATCTAGTAAATAAAAGAGAAATTGCACCCAAAAGTAGTATATAACATGGCCACAAGTAAATGAAAATAAACCAACTTCAACAGTATCACATCAAGGAGTTTTCTTGTGTGTGAACTCCTACCTGGCATAGCTTTAGTAAAATGTTATCCAGGGCAAGTAAATGCACCAGTATCTGATTTCAAAATAACAACTACCCCCAGGAGATCAAGACTCGTAAGACATGTAGGAATCATCCTTTTAGAGTTTTTGGATTGTTTAAATTATAAAAGGATTATGTAATTGCTAAGCTGTCTATTGATCGGCTAAACAGAGAAAATTGCAATGCAAAGCAGACAAACCAACTGAATTTGGAGATCTCAAACCATGAATATTGGCCAAAACTCGACCTCCAAAAATTGTATGTTAAGTTGTAGTCAATAATCTTTTAATTATCAATGGGCTTTTGGTCCAATGGTACTTCTTGTCTTATAAAGGTTGTCTTCTTGAGATCAAGGGTTCAAATTCCCTTCCCCTTCCCCCTCCCAAAAAAAAAATCTTTTAATTCAGTTTTATACAGGCTTTCAAAAGAATACAAATCATATTGAGAATTCTGCAGCATTTTCTGGAATTCAAGCCCTAAGCATGTGGTGTCCAAGAAAGTTAGGAAGTAATGGGGAGCCTATTTCTTCTTCCACAAAGAGGTTTGCTCCATATTTTTATCTAATTCTACAAGCAATTTTTTTCTAGAATTCTATCCAAGGGATATTGCTTTTTTCCTCAAAGCATAAAAAAAAGGTAGTCCAGTGCGTGAGTCGCCTGTTGTAGTGTCTAGAGAGGGTCAGATTTATACAGTCTTACTCTACACCAAGAAGAGACATTTTTCTCAATACATAATACAAAAAATTGGGCATTGTTCCTCACACTGTTGTATAGACATAATCTTGTGCCATTAGAAGACTCTCAAGGAATAGTATGGCAGCCACATGAACTCCAAAAAGCCACAAAAAGCATAGTCAAAATAAAGTATCAACCCTTTCCTAGATCAGATCACCTAATGCCTTTTAATCATTAGAATTTTAATAGTTCATCCTTGGGTTTTGAGCCAAATTAGATATTCGGAAGATGTATGAATCCGTTCCTTAGGATTCTGTCCTCAATAACTTGGAATCGTTGAAGTTCCCTAAAATTTAGGAAAGATGGATTAGAGAATGTATTCAATGGCAAAGAGATAGACAACTCTATTGTCGGGTAAATAAGGAAACAGGCAACAATTTGGCACTAGATATCTAGAGGTGTGAAAGAAGCAGAGGCGAGAAGCAAAAAAAAAAAAAAAAGCTTCAAAAAAAGAACAATTGTTCGCAAAGGCTTCCATAGAAAGACCCCTTTGTTTCAATAAATGGATAACAATTAAAAGTACCTAGGTGAATACCAGTGGAATGGACAAAATATGAACAATAAGCATACAAACTAAGGAACAAAACAAGATCATTGCGTTCCGTTTTTAGTAAATAGTAATGGTTATTCCATTAGTAATGAGAAAAGGGGTTGATGGGATCCGTGTGTGCAGGTTAGCTCGATCAAAAAGGTCCATAAATAGCTCAAACAAAATGCAGAAAGTATGGAAAAATATCACGTAATGTACATGCCCAGAATGCCAATTGCACTCCGGCGAAAGTAAATCTCAAGAGTCATAAGTTTGAATTTCATATAATAAAACTGAAGGTTTAAAAAAAATGGTAAGATATAGGTAAGAATTCTCACAGATCTCCCCATTACTGGAAATTAACATGGCAACTTGTGATGTGCCATCATTTCGAATTCTTGACAAATTTCGGCACTTTGTCCGGATGAGATCTGCTAAAGTAGCCCAAATGCGACCTATACCAATCCTATTTTTACTTTGTCACTTCTTGGAAATCATAAAGAGGATTTCCGGAGTGAACCAATGTTACCTGAATCCTAGATCAATTTGGTACTTGGTACAATAGGGGTACCAAGTACTAGGTATACAATATGATGCTTTTTCTAATACGAGGTGCAATGGGGATATGCTTAGTAGATACGATGTTTGAACACACTAAATCCCTAAGTCTGAAAAGACAAACCATCTTGATTCTTTCATTCAACCTCATACATTGAAGAAGAAATCTTGTTTGTTGTCAACCAAAACCTACTTGGAAAAGTATGCATTCCGAGAGTGTTGAGTGTGAAGCCTTGAAGATTGCTCGAGGCCTAAATGACCCATCGCGGTGGAGGCGTTCAAGTGAACCTACCCATAACTTTGGAGAGAGACTTCCGAAGGAGAAATCTATTGAAGGAAATGAGCATCTAGCCATGGAGTTGGTTGAGGTATAAGACTCAAATACTTATAGATCGCCTTTGGGTTAATGGATTAGGCTTTGATAAACCCTAGAGTGGTTCCCAAATTATTTTCTCGAGAAATGTTTCCGCATCAACAAATTGCATGTGTTCTTTATTGCTTTAATTTGCTTATACACTTTCAATGTTGCACACTCGCGCACCATGTGTTTGATGAATTTATTGTTTATGTTTCAAGTCATTAATTTTTCGTTTTGGTGTTTGTGACTTTGGTTGGAATTGAAGAAGATGGTGGATTGGTTGGTATTGATTACATATTCATTCATCCATTTACACTCTTAATGGGTTATTCATGTTAAAAGGGGCTCAAAGGGCTAATTGAACAATTTACCTCTTATTTAGTAATTGTGGTGTGGTTATATGGAGCCCTTCCATCATCACTACCACCGCCAAAAGTAGTGTTGCGGTCACCGAACCAAAATCCCTAAAGATTTGATCTAAAACTATGAGTCTGCAAGGTGGAACTCAAAGGGCATGAATGCAAGATATTTAATACCGTGACAACTAACGAACTCCGGAGGATCTCCAATTGTGAGACTTCCAAAGAAGTATGGGATATCTTACTAGTTCCCAACGAAGGAACACCTTTGGTAAAGGCATTTCATCTACAAAGGTAAACCTTTCAGTTCAAGATTTTAAGGATGCAAGTGAATGAAACATTTAGTAATAATTTCTATGCTAGATCGAGTGATATCCTAAATTCATCCTTTACATTGGGTACCAAATATGATGACTCCGCGCTCAAATGCCAAATCTTGAGATATCTATCGGAGAAGTTTCATGTTAGGGTGACGGCCTTAAAAACTGGAGTTAATTTGGAGACGGTGTCAATAGAAAACCTACTTGGGTCTATTTTGACTTTTGAGATGATCTCCACCGCCCAAAAAACCGATGAGTATGATTTTAAGCTCAATATAAGAAGAGGGAGATGAATCCAAGTCACCTTGTTTGGGAAAAGTGGGCCTAGCCTATCTTGGGAACAAATTTAGGAAGTATATCAAGGCTAGAGGTGTTGAGTCCTTAGGTTCAAAAAGTAAGACGAGTAAACCAAAATTTTCCAAGGAAGGAAGAGAAAAGAAGGGGGAAAGGAAATCGGAACAAGGACCTCAACGCTACAAGGGCCTGTTTGGTATGATTTTTGGTAGAGGTTTGGATTGGCTTGTCCAAACCTGGGTTTGACCAAAGATGGGATTCAAAGAAGGAATTCAATATTAAATGCTGCCCATACCCATATTTGGTATGCGTAGGGATATATGACTATTATGATAATATATTTGTATTTAAATGACTATTGTGCCCCTTAACTAATTTAATCCAAGCATGGGTATGAATATATGAGGGGTATAAATGTCATTTGAATGTGAAACCCCCAAACCCACATATGAAACCCACCCCCTCAATGGATTTCATGAAACCCATGAACAAGGATTTCATGACCGGGCAATGACCGGGCCGGATTTCAAACCCTAAGCTAAATCCATAATTACCAAACATGGGTTTAAGGGGGTTTAGTCCCCAACCCATGTTCCAAAATCCCTCCCAACCCACATACCAAACAACCCCCAAGTGTCAAGGGTTTAGACACATGACTTGGGAATATCTTAATCAAAAAAAGAAAGATATGCTCATAATAGAGAGGAGAAAGGCAATAAAGGTCAAAAGGAGAGAAAGTGAATCCAAGTCAACGAGGAGTAAGAATACTTCCTCTCAAGAAGACGAGGAAGAGTTTATGCCTTTAATTGGCTCACACCCTTCCCCCTTGAGAGAAACTTCAAATAGGTGAAGTTGAGAGAAAGTCATCAACCCATTTTTTGAGCTAACTCGAGAGATTTTAAGAAAAAAATAAGTATGAGTGAGATGTGAGGACCTTAAGAAGCTCACAACCTCAACTAAGTTGGAAGTCTCAAGGGCTACTAAGGAGATTGAGTCACCTAAAAAGTAGGTGAGGTGAGAGTGTGGACTTAGGTGCATATTCATGTATTGCATCTTATATCCTAGGTTCATGTATTGTAAATAATTTGATTCTTTGCTTATTTACTTTGATTTTGGTATATGAAAACCCAAAAAAAATTAATGTTTAGTTGGGCATACCTTTAGGATTTATTGGTAAATGTGTTTATTTTTCCTTTATTGTTGCATTTTGTACATATTTTTTGTTTTTAAGTTATTTGTGAAAATTTCAAAAATATTAACAAATGAAAAGTTTAAAAAAAAAAATTCTTTTGTTGTTGATCATGGTAAATTACTCTTTGATTCGAGCCCATATCTTTTCCATCCTTAAAACAAGTTGAAAAGTACATTACTATGAGTCATACTAGGGGATAAAGAACTTAGTGATTTTAAGTCTTAGTGCTTGATCCTTAAATAAAAGTTTCTTTCACCTTTGCGTGCTTGGATTATGCAAGTCTAGAGAAAATTCATAAGATCAAGTGCACAACCAATCAACCAACTTTGTACTTAGAAGTGTTGCTAGTTTGAATGATTAATAACTTTATGTCCCCAAGTGTAATGTGAGAAAAGATCCCAATGAGGCCAATTAAAAGTAGAGGCATAAAAATAAATTGCTAGTGTTAATTGCGCTTGAACTGTTGAGAGTACTATATGTTTAATGATAAAACTCAAAGAGCTAAAGCTAAATGCGTTTAGAAGTATACCATTTAAAATATGGAATTCACAATCATGTTAATTAAGGTCATAATGAGTAGAAGAAATAAAAGATAAAGGGAGTTGTCAAAAAGAAATTGAATAGGACACTCACTAACCGACTATATAGTCACTTAGACGCTGCATTAGAATTTCATGGAGAACTTTATTAATGATTTGAGCTAGACAGAATCATAATGGTGTCAGAGTTTGGTTTCACACACGTAACACA